TCGTTGACGGAACAAGTATTGTGGTATTAGGGTGAAAGATGCATAAGTGAGAGGAAAAGAGTATAACCTTCTTGTTGTATTAGTGTAACGTGAATTGGTTGAGTCCTCCGTTTCCCGTACTCAGTATACTTTATATATATGTAAAGTATAGCCATGTGATTCTCTCTTGGAGTTTTCATAAACAAGAAAGACAAAAATTAGACAAATGAGAAAACAATAAATAGTGTTATATATATATATATGTGCCAAAACTAAAAATAAAACTTATAACCAAAACGATTTACAATCATAAACTGCAAACGAGTAATTAGTTAGAAACGGTTTCTTAATGTAAACCATGTCACGGTAGTTTACCACGTTATAGACAGAACAGAATGAAATAATCTGAGTAACCTGCATAACACAAATGGTATTAATTAAATAAGTAAGTATTAAAACATACTTTGTACTATATGAAGACTTATTCTGCTACGACCTTACCGAGAGACCGACTTTGTCCCACTGATGTAAACACATTGAGATTAAAGTCTAAACACAACAGAACGAAAAGCCTGGTGATTTTTCACTTTGTGGAATAAAAACAAAAACAAATTCAACACAAAAAGGAGTATAGTTATTTATGACAATTTTTTTATGTAGTATGTGAAATACCTTGCGGACATCTTATTGTCTTCTGATTTCTGAACTATTTAATTTTATGATTTACTGTTTTGGGACTTGAACTCACTCGACAAATAGGACCCGTCCCCCGGGCAATTCGGTGGCTTTCTTGTATGTATGTATTATGTACAGCCTATACTATAAGTTGTTTTGTTCCTTTCTTTCCTTGATTTGTAATGTAGTTCTAGTTAGTACCCTGTTAGCCGAAAGACTCCGTGTTAACAAAAATTTTCCAGGGTGCAGTACGAAAAGGCCAATAATGGGCAGGGGGAACACACAATACTCCAAAAAATACGAAGGAGTGTTTGTTGATACAGTCAGAATTTGACGGGTTTTTTTTGGTCTAAAATAGTCCGCGAGCAGCAGTGACGATGATGATGTGTGTTCAGATCATGTTGTTCTTCTTCAGTACCTCCAAGTACTGCTGCGTGGCCCTGCTGACGGGGTCCAGCTCCACCCGCGAGGCCGAGCCCACCGGGGACATCCGGGCTGAAGCTACGTCCAGCTCTGCTGAGGCTCTGTGTGTGTGTGTGAAACGAGCCATTTTGTGTGCGTGCGCAAGCGAGAGAGAGCGCACCGGTACCGGAGATCGTTGTTGTTAGCTTCTGGTGCTAGCGAGCTACGCTAACGGATATAAGGAGTTTTTTCAACAACAAGGTGGAGGAGAGTCCTCTCCTGTCAGACTGAGAGACTCAGTGAACTAAAGGACTCTCTCAGTGTTATCTCAGTGGATCTCAAACGTTTTGGTCACCATTAATGTAAACAATTATTTCCGAGGCACACGTTTATACGATCATTATAGTTATAAAAAAATAAGAGAATAAATGAAAAACAGGTATGAAATACTGTATGACAGTAAAAAAAAGAATAAAGTTTAAAAGGGGGATTTGTCAAATATCCATAAAGAAAAAGTAAATCTGTTTACAGTTCTGTTTCATATAGGTGTTGAGTATCCATAGATCTCTTCATTTTGCTCTCAAAGTGCACCAGATTGATGCATTTAACTTCAATATTTAAAAAAAAATCTTCCCGGGGGAGCTTGCCCCCGGACCCCAATATGTAAGGTCCAGACACCACCTATAAAAATAGCACTTGACCCCTGCTTACACCTATATGCCATGAGCTGATTATCGAGCCTTCATTGTAACAGTTGCGGGTACGTTGTGTATATGCGTGGGGATTGTTGCAGGAGAAAATTCCACTGCAGCGCCCAGGACATTAATGGGAAACACTAAATGTTTGAGCACCCTCTATGAAACGTCAAGCTAACCCACAGCACCCCCAAAATAAATCTCTGGCGCTGCCACTGAGCCTGACTATTTGTGTTGGGGGGGCCCGACTTTTTTTTTTCTCCAAAGGGGGGGCCTGACAGAAAAAGTTTGAGAAACACTGCTCTAGCGACATGTGGGCTAGACTTTTGTGTGCTCTTATTTGTAAGATTCAAAGAGAACTGAATGAATGTGGTGCAGGTAGCTAATGTTATTTCTATTTAAGAAAGTAAAATAGTAAATTAAAATGGAGAATTAGGCAAAAAAAGATGCCGGTTAAAAATGTTTACAGGAAATGTTTCGATGTAGCTATGTAAGAGATGATAAAAACGACCTAGGTATACCTAGGGGACTACACCTCACCTTGTGTTAAAGCTCCCAGAACAAGCTGGTTGAATAGGCCTTTCATTGAAAAGGATGTCCTTTGTACTGTATATGCGACAGATTTTGAAGCTGAATTGAATTGTGCAAGACATATTCGATTTTCAAGTATAAGGTGTGCACTGAATGACAACTAAGATTTCAATAGCTTCAAAAATATATAGGAGGATATATATAAAAAGCCTCGATTGCACAATTATCCTTTCAGAAGAAGGACGAGGCCCTCCTGTGTCTCCAATTAATTCAGATTGAAAGGGGAAAATGGATGTGTATCTTTTACTGAAACAAACCCTGCAGAGTATCCCTGGTTAGGTGCACGGTTGAATATAAGCTGCTCTGTGGTTTGTCAGCGCTCATCACATTTTGACGTGCGTCCTTCAACAGTAACATCTGCTCTGACACCGGCCCTGACATGAAGGCCGTTCATCTCAGACTTTTAATCACTGCTTACACGAATGGAAAGGAACAAAAAATACATCTTGTTCTTAAAATTGACTGACAAGATTGACTGTCTGGATCATCTGTACAGTCATACATATTACAAATGTCTAAAATGACCAGCAAAAGAGTCAGGAGACAGTTTGTATTGGATTTATTGGATTTCTCCAAATGAATGAGAATGATGCTCTGTAACTGCGGGATGCATAAGTAACTACACTAGCAGAATGAACACCATATTAACAAAAGTATGCTGTCATAGTGTCTTTCATGCCATTTCAGATTTTTAGCAGATACATTTTGGTCATTTCCCCAGCTGTTTTTTACAAACCTGTAAGGCCTCTTTTTAGTTTTTCTTTTAGCTCCTTTGACAGTATCATGGGACCTGACCCCAGGGAAAATGCATCTGTAGCTTTCATCTGTAACCATGGTATGTTATGATTTGTTTATCTTTATAGTAGCTGTTTGCCAAAGAGCCCAAAAAACAACCCATATTGGGATCACAAAGCTTAAAGTAGTAAAGTATGTGGTAGAAAATGCGATTGCGTATAGGTGCAGGTGAAAACCCACAGTGTTTATCGACTGCTACGAGAGATACTGGTCTGGAAGCAGTTATTTCCTCTCACCAGGCTGTCATTTGGCTGTCTGAGTGAATCCAGCCCGGGCTTTAGCCTATTCTCTCACTGCCAGACGGTGGGGTGATTAGTGATGTGGCAGTGTGCAGGAGGCAGCTCGGTGCTGTTGCACGATAAAGGGGTCAGGCTCAGCCACACACACAACACCTACTCTGTTTCCTGTCGGCCTGTTTGCTAGCAGTGAGCAACACCGGGTCACTGTCCTACCTCCAGCTCTTCTTCCAAAGTCTTACTCGTCATGAATCTCCTTTTGCCACTGCTTGTTGTTGCAACCTGTGCAAGAACATTTTCTGATTAATCTTAGTCAACATCAGAGCCAGAAAGCCAACAATGCAGACCGCCTGTGGCCTGATTCTCTTCATTGACTGCACACAAACACAGGAGAGCAAGAGTTAGTTAATTGGATATTATATTGAACAGAAGTAGTTTAGAGCCGAAGGAGAAAATAACTTTTGTTGGTAACGGTGCAATTGTGGCAGCATGGGGAGATAAAATGGATGTGATTCTCCCCTCAAAGAGCAGGTTTATTGTGTCTAGAATTGTCTTCTAAAGAGGATCGAGATTGGAAAAAGAGATGGGGTGTTCATCTTTTCACAAGATGATTTACTGCACTGATATAGTTTCTAATCCGATTTCAATGGAGTTTTTGAAGATTTCTAACATCAAATCTCGAAATAAATCCTCCTTAAAGGGAGATTCACAGGCAGATGTAACTAAAAGTCCCTGCATTTACAGGTTTGCTGACTTGAAAGATCCTGCTTAAGATTCCTGTGTGGGAAACGCTGCAGTGCAAATGTAAGATGAAGGAATCAGGGGCTTTTACAGTCTACCGCTGAGTGGTATTTATTGGGTTTTTAACAATTCAGCAAAGAACTCTCCTCCAAAATGAACTTTTTCTTGTGTATTTCATAAGAAAACAAGCCCCAATACAGTGGACTTTGAAGCTCAGGATTCTGTTAACATCCTAAAGGCAACATAGAGGAACACAGCGTAACAACATTTAGAAAATGAGCAATTATAGTTTCCGGGGAGAATGTGCAGAACCATTACAGTTCACCTTGAGGCTCCTAGAGGGTCAGCAGTTGGGTGCTTTTAATCTGTCAGTTCTCACATCCTCGTTGCCACGACCTTGCAGACATGCCATGAATTTCATTTCATCGGTCTTACCTTTGACGCGACAATGACAGCTTCTGTTAGTGCCTTTAGGAAATATTCTTTAGGAGTTGCTTGCAAGCCGGGAAAATCCATAACATTACATGCCCATTTACCAAAATCAATCAATCAATCAATCAATGTTTATTTATATAGCCCAATATCACAAATGTTACATTTGTCTCAGTGGACTTCACAGTTTGTACAGCCCCCCCACTCTCCACTAGGGATAGGAAGACAACAGGGAGGTTGATTTTCCAAAACATGAATGAGCGTGACCTGAGTTTAAAAAGGGAAATTTGAACACCCAAAAAGAGGGGAGATCTCCTTCAGGAGCTATAAGGAGGATATACCACATCAGAAACTTCTTAAGGATTTGGTAGTTTAAGGCTTTATTAAGGAGATTCCTCCTTAATACGGTGTCACGGTCCTCACCATCATGGGATATTCTTTCTGAGGGCGTCGCGGGGGGAACACGCGCTTGCATTTTTAACAAGTAATGTCCCAAAACGAAATGACCCTTGAAACTACCTTTTCATAGGGGCGAATTTTGCACCATTTAGAGGTGGGGGATTGACCCTTTGCGACAAGG